ACCCACGACAGCTTGCCTATATAAAAGCATCACCTCCAGCCTCATAAGGTACATGCGATTTAGCTCTCACTCACTAGTATTCTCAAGCTATCAACTCGCTACAATCTCCTACACTAACTTAAGCATCGGAGTGTCCACACCGGGTAAAGTACCCCGGGACCTCTGATCTCTTTCATCTTGTAGTTCGACCCGACCACGTAGAAGTTCGACGTCCGAGTTGCCTTCCAGCAGGGAGCGACCAGATCGCGCTACATCAATACTAATCATTTTTTATAGAAGTGGTTTTACATAAGCCGAGGGTAGCAAGCTCCCAAAAATCACTTAAACAAATCAAAGCAAGATCCTTAGGAATATTACAAAGATTAAACAAGACCGAGCCATCAGAAAAAGAAAAAGTGCTCTGTTTGCAATTCAGTCTGCCACTTGGTTCACCTTTTGTATATGTGCCTGTAGCTGACTCCACACTCCATCTTGTCCTTCATCAATCATACTAACCATGGTTGATGGGTTGGGAACCCCGCTTCTGATGATTTCACATAGCCAAGCTCTGAATATTCAATATGCATGGCATGGCATGTCTCAGTCTGAGCTAATGATGATGATATTTGTGAATATTGTATGAGGGGTGGAGTCTGGATTAATCATGTGTCATTGATTAATCCATTTGACCCAAATACTAACCCACTACCCAAAAAGAAAAATAGTTTCCTTTCTAAGTTGACATTAAATTTTGTATTACATTTCCATAATTGATAAAATTATTTCTTATGTATAATACTTATTTTTGTTCAATATAATGAATGTATAATATTAAATATGTACCCAATATTTTATTTTTTTATAAATATACAACATTAGATATGTACCCAAAATTTTCTCTATTTTTTATTTTGTAATTCTTTGCATTTTCTATTTTTAAAAATTTTATTATTTGACTATGACATAATTTCCTTTCTAGGTTGATTTTAAATTTGGAATTTAATTTTTATCATTAATAAAAATACTTCTTATGTTTCATGCTTATTTTTGTTTCGTTTAATGAATATACAATATTAGAAATATTTTTGTATTATATGTTTTATTTATTTTAATTTCTTATTATTTAATTATGGCATTATTTATTAACCCATTTGACCCCAAATGGTTGAGTTGCTTACCCACCACTAGAAGAGAAAAAAATGGTTTTTTTTCAAATAACTTTTCAAAATAACTATTTTTATAGTATTAAAATTAATGTTGTAGCTTTAATTAGTATAATTTAATGATGAAAAAATATATCTTAAATATAGGATTTAGTGAGAGAATATATCCAATTGGTTTTAAATTCTACATTCCATTTCCATCATTAATAAAAATGTTTCTTATTAATCATACTTATTATTGTTTAATATGTTGAATATGTGATGCTAAAATGTTCCCCTTTTTTTTTAATTTTATTGTAAACTGTGGTAGCATGGGTTGGCCCATTTGACCCAAAATGATTTAATTTCTTACCACCACCTACATGAAAACATTATTTTTTTGTAGATTTTAAAACTATAAGTTTTTAAGTTATTGGAATTTTTAATTTATTATATATGGAATTAATTAATAGAACTTATGATGAAAAGAAACAAAAGTGTTTTAAATATATGATTCAATGAAGGTGAATGCAATTTAATTCCTTAAATGTTGAATTTAATGAGAGAGAATTGAATGTCTTTAACATTACCCTTTTCAAATCATTTAATATCACTAACCGATTACCCTATTTGCCCTCATTTTTATCAATAAATTTAAATATGGAGGGGTAACTTTTGTCCTTACACTACAAAAAAGGGGCTTTTGGTGATGTTATATTTGTGACGTTTAGAAGAAACGTCACCTAAAGTTATGTATCTGTGAAAACTCACTTTTCGCAATAGTTCTACTATACCATTGTGAAAAGTTGACTTTTTCTAACATTTATTTGTATTTATAGTGACATTTACGAGAAACTTCAGTAAATGACACCTCCCGCCATCATGGGTTTTACCGCCAAATCGTGCGAAGCATGTTCAATGACGTTTATCTATAAACGTCACAAAAATAGAGCATCACGCAAAGTACTTTCCATGACGTTTAAATGTTATTTTCCACCTTTTAGGTGACGTTTAATGTTTTTTTATTGTGAAAAAATTAGCAATTTATACTTTATGAATAATTATCAATTAATTAATTAGGTAGGGATGTCACCAAATTTTTTGTTGTAAAAATTTTTGCAAATTTATTATTGTTGCTAAATATATTATTTATTTATATAAATACATTTATATATGTTATTTATTTATGTTTCATTTTTGTAAATATATTATATTATTTATTTTTTATAAAAAAACATGTATATATATGACCAAATTAGTTGAAAAGATACTTGTATTTTTGTGTTTCTTTATTTAAATTGTTATATTTTATTTGTCTTTTAATAATTCATTTATTTATTTTTTAAAATCAGATCCGAATATTCAACGGTCTCATCAAATTTGAATTCAAATATACGTTTATGAGATCTAATACAATCAAATCTCCCCTTAATGGTGTTAGACCGGATTCAGATATACCTTGATTCAAATCTGATCCAATCTGTTTGCATCCCTACCTACACCTAATCCATTGACATTTGTATTTGTTGCTCTACAAATATCAAGTCTCTTATTTGGTGAACTATCAAGGGTGAAGCCAAGGGACCCATGGCCCCCCTATGCCCTAGAAATTCATACTTTTGAAAGTCTATTTTCCCCCTCCCCCACTTCCTACCCTAATGGTTGGCCCCTTTGAATGGCCAATCCATACGTGTTCTCTCCCCCC